TCTTCTGTTGCCAGGGGCCCTGGGGACCCAACTGCCTTTTAAGGTAGCTGTGGGTGGAATGATGGGAGTTCCTGGAGTGGTGGACAGTTCTACTCTTAGAACTTAGTGGTATTGCCATTTTATATTATTATTATTGTTTTGATGCCAATGGGGGATGGCCACAGTTTAGAAGAGGCACTGAGTTCCTTTGAGGAGATGGGGAACAGGATGAAGTGGGGGTTCAGAGTGCCTCTAAAAGCAGAGTTTAAAATCCGTTTAGAGATTCATGGTCATGGATCTTCTGAAGGTTGACAGTTATCTCCACAGAAAGTTGACAGTCACTTTTAACTATGACTTTTAAGGATTGCTGAGGATGTAGATGAGTTGGTAGTGTCCATGCCTAGCATGAAGAAGCCTCAAGTTCGATCCCCAGCACCATATAAACTGAGCATGCTGGTGCACACTCAGGGAATAGGGGTAGGGAATCAGAAGTTCAAGGTCATCCTTAGCTACATGATACACTGGAGCCCAGCATGGGCCACATGAGACCTTGTCTCAAAAAAACAAAACACAAAAACCAATAAAGACTGCCATTTTAGCCGATGGACTAGGGATGAAGGTGGTAGCCCTGATGCTCTGAGGACCCCCTCCCAGTGCTGTGAGCATTTGGGGCTGTTAAATGGTACACAAGAGACAGAAAGAGGAAACCCAGACATGTGGCATTTCTGCCCAGAGCAGGGACACAGAGAGAAACTGCCTGTCCCCCACCACCCACCTCCATCCAGTTGGACCCCTGCTGCCCCAGAAAGACTTAACTTTATTTGTCCAGAAGCAGCCACTTGTCTTGGTCACTGTCCTGGTTGATGGTGTCCTCATCCTCACCCCTGTTGCAGGTAGGACCCTCTCTCCTCTTTCTGGTTCTTTTTCTTCCTCCTCATCTTCCCAGAAGATGGTTGGATCGCTGAACCATGCATGTGATCACAGCCCTCTTGTGTGGGACATCCCTCTGTCCTGTCTCTAGTATGTCACTGGAGATGCAGACCATGGCAAGCCTCCCCACTAAAGGTTTCAGGTGGGGGTTTAAGAGTTACTAATGCCATAGACAGACAGACAGACAGACAGAAGGGCAGCAGAATGGCAGGGGCTCCAAGGAGAGTCCAGGTCATAGAAACAACATGGTGGGGTCTCTGAAGAGAGGAGTGAGCCTGCACAGTGAAGGGGTTAAACTCTCCCACCCTCACAACTGAACTTAGGTTTCAGTTCTCTGAAAAGGGCAAAACCGGTGTCTCTCCCAACAAAGGGCCATTTATCCACAAGGCCCTTGCATTCAGGGTCCAGGGAGAGAATTAACACAGGTCTAAGTCAGCTTCACAGTGTCTCAAGGACAAATCCTGCAGCCCCTTCTGCGTCACGTCTTGACTTGCCCAAGCTTGTGGAGGTATGTCCAAAAATGATAAGACTAAACCCCAGCCAATTAGAAATATACTAATGTAACTGCTGCTTGCTTAACCAGTTATGTATGAGGTGATCTAACTGTCCCTGCTACTCCCCGTAACTGTGTTTAAAAGGAGCCTACATGTTCCTCTTGGGGTCATCGCCATTTTGTACAGATGAACTCCCCCACATGCATGCTGGAATATTAATAAACGCTCTTTGCTCTTACATACTATTTGAGTCTGGGGTCTTCCTTCAGCATTTCCTCGGACCCTGTGACAGTAGAAATGGGGGGTCTCTTCTCAGGCCAGAGCATGGAAAGTTTCCCAGTATAAATCTGTAGCTAGGCTGTCTGATTTCTAGGCGGGAGGCAGGGAAGGGGCAGGGAGTAGGATGTGTGGGCACCAACACCTGCTTTGTTAGAAACTCACTTCCTGGGTGACAGATCGGCCCTGGGGAGTCTGTTAGCTGGCAGGGGGGAGGGGGGTGCAGAGAGATAAGTCTTAGTAGGAGGCCTGTTTGTGTCAAAAAACAAAAAACAAACAAACAAACAAAAAAAAACAAAAAAAAGGCAGTGGCCTTAGCAGCAGCCAGATTCTAACTTTACCTTCTTACATCTACTCCGAGGCTTCTGATTTATGGTGGGTTTGGCCAATGTGGTCAGGGAGGTGAGAGTCAAATTTGGCTTCCTCATGGTATAATAATCCATCCCAGGCCACAGCTCCTCTCAAGGTGACCTTTAGCTAACTCCCAGCGACTTTCTTCCCTCAGTCCCTCTTGCCCCATCATTTTCATGCTCCTTTCTCTGCAGACGGTACCATACTACACGGTTAGCTCTCAGTCAACTGTTCTTCGTGAATGCTCCCCGAGTTCTCCAAGAGGAGATCTGCTGCTTTGTGCTGGGCCCCTCAGTGATTTAACTCTCCCAATCAAACCCTTCTGTGGTTTCCGCAGGGTTTAAGAACAGTCCGTGGTGAGGTGAGGATCTTGGGAAGGAGGTCTCTCACCGTGCAGCTCCATCTGGCCTTGCCCCTAACCCCCTACCCCGGGCTTGCCACTGGCCAAGACTCACTGCAGAACTGAATCATCAGGAGCCTCTTGCAGAAATTCCTGTTCCTCACACTCTTCCTGGGGTCTGTGCACCCCTCTCCTTCCTCAGCCTCAGGAAGCATGGCTGTGTTTTAAGGCCTCATACAGAGGTGCCAATGGTCTGGAACAGGGCCTGTGGACTGGGAAATAAATACAGGAGGAATGAGCAAGGCTCAGTAGATGTCTGCTGAGTGAGAGTTTCTGAGAGCCGTGCGCTTTTCTTCAAGGTCCAGTATCACTCAGAGGCATGTTTATGGGCAGACATAGCTGAATGCCTTTTCTTTTACTTATTTTATTTTGAGACAAAGTCTCTGTGGTGGTTTGAGTGAGAAATGTCCCCATAGGTTTGGGTATCTGAACGCTTTGGTCTTCAGTTGGTGATGTTGTTTGGGGAGGTTTTGGAGGTGTGGCCTTACGGGAGGAGCTCTGTCCCTGGAGGCAGGCTTGAAGGGTTTAAAACCTTCTCCACTTCCAGCTTGTTCTCTCTCCATTGTGCCTATGGTGGAGGAGCTAAGCTTCCCAACCATTTTGTCTGTTGCTTGCTGCCACAATTCACCACCCTGAGGACCCTTCTTCCTTTGGAACCTAAGTCCAAATAAACTCTTCCTTCTCCAAGTTGCCCTAGTCATGTGTTTTATCACCACAACAGACAAGTAACTACTACCGTCCTTTCCCGTAGCTCTGGCTGACTTGGAACCTACAGGTAGAACAGAGTGGTCTTGAACTTGCAGCAATCCTCCAGCCTGTCTCCCGAGGGCTGGCATCACAGGCTTTTGCTGCCCCCACCATGCCAGTCTGTACGTTTGAGGGAAAGGCTTTGATGCCTTTCCTCAGGCATCAAATGTCACCCTCAGGCATCCAGTGTCACCCTCAGGCCCGCAGTTTCCTGCTTTGCATTTTAGGGGTGAACAGCAGAGTGAGAGCCAGCTTCTGAGTGCAGATCAGCATGAAGTTATGTAACCCTGATCAAAGCTGGGGCAGGAACACAGGCACGGTCCCCATCAGCGGCTCTGATGACTCCTGGGTGACTCACTGTTGGAAAAAGAGAGCGGGAGATATTCTATGTAATCAAGAAGAAATCCTTCCTGTGGGACATTCTCCCTGGTAAATAGTCCCCTGCCAAGAGCCTCTGTGAGCCTTTACCCAGCTGCAGAGGTGATGGGGGCCAGGGACTGCCTGGAGCTTCACCTGAGGGGATGGGCTAGCAGACCTGGGGATACTCCACAAGGCCCCCTCAACCAGGGGGAACAGCCAGCATCCTCTTTTGTTCTATGTCTGGCTGCTGAAGAACAAATTTCTAGAAGAAATTCTGCCAGCTCTGCTGCCTGGTGGGTCCCTGGGTGGGGGTTGGGGGGTGTGCTAAGGGAAAGGGTTTGGTGTTTTTCTTTTGGGAGGGAGAGGAGGGGGAGGAGGAGAGAGGAGGAGGGGGAGAAAAGGGAGTTGGGGGGAGGGGAAGAAGAAGGAGGAGGAGGGAAAGGAAAAGGGGAGGGGGGAGGGGAGGAGGAGGAGCTTGGCTAGAGGTGTTTCTTTCAGATGCTCATTGCTTCAAAATCCATCCTCATAGCCCTAGGGAGAGAGAGTTTGTGCTAGGTGCCCACACCCCTTTTCCTGCTACCTCCAGTCCTACTCCCCAATATCCCATTCCCCCCAAGACTCAGTCTCCAGGTCTTCAGCAATGGCTAAAGCTAGTTTACCCCTGACTAAGCCTGACTCAGCCATCCCTGATGGCGTCTTCTGGACTTTTACCCTTCCCAGGATGTAATCGCGTATGCTCTGTGGGCAGACAATCTGGAACGAATTTCCTAGGATGGAAACCAAATGATTATAAAAATAGTTGGGCCAGATTGCTGGCATGCACCCCAGATCAGGAGTAGCCCTGGGATGTCTGGGCCCAAGTTGGTGCTTGACGACCTAGGCTCTTACCCACTCTCTTCCACCTCCTCCACTCAGGGTGCCCATGTGCTCCAAATAGGAGCTGAGGGTGGTGTGAGCTCGGGCATCTTCTGGTAGACTCTGAGTATTTATTTCCCCAGTAGCCAGGAAGCCACCTGGCTCAGAACAGGTACTCCTTGACCACCTGGCCTGCCTGAGGTTGGCTTGGGAGGCCAAAGTTCCTAAGGAGATAGCTTGGAATGAGTCATCTCCCAGAGGCTTTATTCAAGGGACAGAGTCCCCTTGTTTGGGGACTGGGGAGTGGTAAGGCCGATTTGAAAGGACTTTAGTCTCTGGGATGCTGGGATGGTGGCCACCGGAAGATGAGTTTTTCAAATAGAACTTCCTTTTCCTCCTTTGTCCCTGGAGAGCTCAGGGTCTGAAACCCGTCACCCCACTCCTTCACCAGAGACTGATGAAGAGGGATCAACTAGTCAGAGTGGCCAGAAGTTGGTGGTTGTGATGGGTGATACTGATTGTCAGCTTTCCAGGATAATATAGGACAACTGAAGAGACAAGCCCCCGGGTGCGTCTGTGAGGGATTTTATTTTATTTTATTTTTTTAGATTAAGTGAATTAAGTCAAGAAGACGCACCCTAACTGCAGATGGCACCATCTCATGGCCCGGGTCCCAGACTGCACATAAAAGGAGAATGCTAGCTGAACACCAGCCTTCGTCTCTCTCTTTGCTTCATGACTACAGAGGCCATGTGCTGGACCAGCTGGCTCACCCTCACACGATGGAGTGAGCCAAATAAAAAGAAAGAAGCCCTCCTTTCACGTGGCTTTTGTCACAGCAAGAAAAGCGACCAACACTGTGGCCTTATGGAGAGCTTTGGCAATGGAGACCTTGACACATGGTCCAGGGCATTGGTTTCGGGCCAGGGACACAGGAAGCAAAAAGGCTTTGGGTGGAGCTTTGCCAATCCCTGGGCAGAGTCCCCTCTTGCTCCCTGGGTGCAGGAGCTGCTCATGCACCTGTGGGCACAAGCATTCAGCTGATCAAAGAGCTCCCATCAGATGCAGCCGATTAGTGCCCGGGACCAGCCATGCATGGGAAGGACTGAGCATGAAGGGTTTTTCTTTGCACAAACCAAAGTAAAGGCAAGGATGGAGCTCTATGGGGAGGATCCTTGAGCATGGCTGCAGCTGGAAGCCTCAGTTTGTGGGGCAGTGAAATCACCGTATATGGCTTGAGAGGAAATTCTCAGCAAAGATGCAAATAGGTCATCAAGTAATGGCAAAAATATGCAGCTGAATGGATGTGCCTCTGCAGTCTCTGTGGCTCCAAAGGCTGAGCAAACTCCAGGACTGAGAGCTGCAATCCACAGAGGACAGGGACAAGAGACTCTCCCTGTGTCCCCCAGCCAGCCTCTAACCTCCTCTTCCTATCTCCCCATTGGGATCTGCCCCTAGTCTGTCCAGCATCCCCATCCCCAGTGGCGGAGACCAGACAGGGACAGGAGATGGCTGGAGACTCTTGCTGGTGACTAATGCAATACTTGAACAGGAAACAGACTGCAAAAGACTTAGGAGAGGCTATAATTAGCTCCTGTCCTAAAAACACTCACTTGGGAAGAAATGGAATTAACATACTGGGAGGAGGAGGAGGAGGAGGAGGAGGAGGAGGAGGAGGAGGAGGAGGAGGAGGAGGAGAAGGAGGAGGAGAAGGAGGAGAAGGAGGAGGAGGAGGAGGAGGAAATACAGCTTCCAAACAAATCCAGGCATCATCCGGAAGTGAGCTTTCCTCCCAGGCAGCACTCCATCGGGCCTCAGAAGATCAGCAGCACTGAGTGTGTGCTCAGCTCTGCTCCAAGTCGACCCCCCAGCCCCGCTTGTTGCCAATAAGATGTCCTGGATTGTCTGTGGTTCTGGGTAATCCAGCTTCATAGGGACCATGATATAACATGATATACATGAAGGATTGAGATTCAGAGTTCAAGAGTGTGAAGGCTCTTGCTTGGGGACATTATGACTTGTATGTGAAATGTTCTTCACAGGCTCCTGTGTTTGAGCACCTGGTCCCCAGCTGATGGCACTGTTTTGGGAAATTGTGGAACCTTTAAGGGCTGTGCCCTAGAAGAAGGAAGTGGATCTCTAGTGGCTTGCCATATCCTTTTCAACAGGTTCCCCTCTTGACTTCATGTCTTTTGTTATAGCCCACTGAGTATAGTTATATGTTCATAGGTGTGAGTCTACCCACTAGAGCCTGGAAACCTACCAGTGGCCACATCCTTAAAGAAGATTGGTTCACCATCCCTGGTGCATGAGCAGGCTTTTTGGAGCCCACTACCTATGATGAGACACCTCGTGCAGCCTTGAGGCAGGGGAAGGGCTTGGACTTGCCTCTACTGGATGTGTCTCCCCATGGGAGGCCTTGCCTTCTTGTGGAGGGGGAGTGGGGGATAGGTTGGGAGGGGGAGGCTGGGGGGGGGGGCAGGAGGACGGAAGAAGGGGATCTTTGATTTGTGTGTAAAATGAATGAAAAAAATTTTCTTAATTAAAAAAAGAAGATTGATTTGCATTGCTGTGACAAAATGCCTCACAGAAGCAATTTCAGGAGGGAGAGGTTTGTTTTGGCTTACAGTTTGAGAGTGCATAGTCCATTAACATGGGAAAATGTGCAGATGGCCCACTGCAAGAGGAGCAAGTGGCAGCTGCTTTGGATGGAGTGCTAACTGTAGAGCACAGACAAAAGCCTTCATTTAACCCTCAAGGCCCTCCTCCCAGAGGTCTGCTGCCTCCATCTGGATAGTTCTGGATCTCCACCTGCTCACTCTACCAACTGCCAACAGCTCTTCAGTAAGGGGTGGGGCCTGGGGGATGCTGGCTGGCTTATTCTTGTGCAGGTAACCACAGCTGCTGTGGGTTTGTGAGTACAATAGCCATGTCTAGATGGCAGCATGTCACAGCACTCCTCCCATCCTCCAGCCCCCTCTGAGCCTTGGGGCACTGGTGAGGGAGTGGGGGAGATTAACAGAGATATCCCATTTGGGGCTCAGCATTCTTGCCAGGTATTTGATTACAAAAATGAGATAAAAAATAACTAATATCCTGGACAAGTGGAAAGCTGAAGCAATGATGTTTTAAGAAAATCTCCCATATGAGTGCCTCAGTTTCCCCTGTATATCAGCTTGAATCCAGTGATGGAGGAGAGAGAACATCAGAATTGACCTTGGATACAGTGCAGCTTGGATAATACTTGTCAGGGCACTCAGTTACTTAGAGTGGACATGTGGACATTTCTGAGACTATTTTTTGTTTTGGGATTTTTCCTTTTTGAGGGGGGTTGTTTTGTTTTGTTTTGTTTGTTTTATGAGATGTTGGTCCAGTCTGCTGGACTTCAAAATCCTTAGTTTTTCAAAGCCTTACAGCACTTCTCCAAAGGAAACAGCAAGAAAGGGAGAGAAAATAGGTCCACCCTGAATAGGGTGGGGACCCACTTTCCTTGGACCTTATACAAAGCACCCATTCCCCACACTGCCCCTGGGCTTCACAGGGCACTGTTTGAAGACCACAGATCTAGAGTTCCAATCCTTAGGGCTGGCTGGCCACCCAAAACTCTTTCTCATGGTTCTTTTACTTCCTCCACACAGAAATTATTGTTAAAATAGTGAAAAGCATTGATTATTCCTGTAACGGCATTGTCCAGAAACGTCCGTCAACACAGAAGGACCATTCACGTCTTTCAAACCCCTGCCAGTGTCTTAACGGCCTCAGGGTCTAAGAGACAGACAAAATGCATACTACACTTGGCTCTCCCTCTTCCCAGTAGCCACACCCTCTGCCATGTGACCTTGCTGCACCTCTATTAAGAGACAGGCTCCGTTTCCCACCCGGTGAATATGAGCTAGCCTGGGGATTTGCTTCAGGCAGTGTTTAGTGGAAGTGATGGGGCTGGCTCCAAGTAGGCCTAAGGAAGCTTTGTGTCCCCCACTTTTTCCTCCTCCCCGCAACCCCACATTCCTGCTACTGCCATAAGGGCAGTTCTAGGCTAGCCCACGGAGGACAAGACTACACAAAGCAGACGTGTCTCAGCAGAGGCCACCCCAGGCCAGACACCCCAGTTCACCTGCCAGCTGCTTGCAGAAACATCAGCCTCTAGAGTCGTGAGTGATCATAAATGGGGGCTGCTTTGAGGCCTGTGATGTGATAAGTGACCGATACAATGCTTAAATACAAACTGGGGGTATAGCTCTGGGAGTAGTCTATTCCTGCTCCAGCTATCCATTGCTGAGTTTATGAACCACTCACTGCTGAGTACTTTATACTAATGGCAGTCTGAATGTGAAATGTTCCTGACAGACTCACGTGTTCAAACGCTTGACCCTCCCCTTGGTAGTGTTGACTAGGGAGGTAGGACCCATCTGGAGGCAATAGACCTCTGGGCAGGCAGCCTTGAGAGTTATAGTTCAGCCTGTGCTCTGGCCCAGACTCTGATCTCTGTACCAAGCAGCAGTTATACTCCTTTATCATGGGTCACCTACCACTATTTCCCCACCGTGATGGACTGCATAACCTCAAACTGTGAGCCAAATAAAGCCTCTCCTTCCTTAAGCTGCTTCTGTCAGATACTCTGCAGCCATGAGATAAGTGACTGATACAATGCTTAAATACAAGCTGAGGGTGTAGCTCTGGTGTCAGGGCACTTGCCTAGGGTGACAGTGTTTAGGCTCACCCTGGGGTTAGTCCCTGGTTAGGCTTATGGGAGATTACATTGATGGCATTGACTGAGGTATAAAGTTCTGCAGGGACCATGATGAGTACTGCCTCCCAAGGGCGGAGTGCAAGAGGTGGCCACCTGGTAAGTGTGAACTTGTACCTTCTACCTCTCTTTGTCTGGACAGCTGCTACCCCCTCACCCCCTGACTTTTAAGGCCTCTTTGGTGAGGGTGGGAGGAAACGCAGTTCTCTGGCTTCAGAAGTGAACAGATATAATCCTGTCAGCCAAGCCCTCTGCCAAAACCACAGTGGGAAAAATCAGACTATCAACAGGTTAAGATTTGCACCTGATCCTTGTCTAGTGAGGAAGGCGGAGGTTGTCAATCTGCCAGGCCCAGCCAAGCCCAGCTACAAGGGCTGGAAGGTTTTGAACTGTCCTGTTCAGCTTTTCCCGGCCTCATGTACCGGTGATGCAGGTCACTGCAGCGGGGACCCCATCAGGACAGTGGGAAGATCAATGGTTGTGCCCACAGTGTTCCAGACAAAGATCCCCCTTGGGTCAACAACTGCATTCTCCTCTCCAGCCTTCCCACAGCCCAGTGGTGACCAGGCTTCTGCCTGAGTTCTTATGGGGTCTTAGTCACTGGTCTATTGCTGTGAAGAGACACCATGACCAAGTCAACTCTTATAAAAGAAGCTAGTTTACAGTTTCAGAGGTTTAGTCCGTTATCAGCATGGTGGGAATCATCTCGGCACACAAGGCACTGGAGCAGTAGCTGAGAGCTACATCCTGAGCTGCAGCCAGAGAGAGAAAGGGGGAGAGAGAGAGTGGAGAGAGGGGGAGAGGGGGAGAAAGGGTTGGTGTGGGTTTTTGAAACCTCAAAGCCCACCCCCAGTGACGTACTTGCTCCAACAAGGCCACACCTCCTAATCCTTCTAATTCTTTCAAATAGTGCCACTCCCTGGTGACAAAGTGTTCAAATATATGAGCCTATGGGGGCCATTCTTGCTCAAACCACCACACATGGTTTTCCCTGCAAGAAATGGAATCCCTTAGTCCCATTTGGCTGGGAACCTAAGGTCTTGCTAACTTCCTTTATTGTTTGCCCTTATTCAGGCCAGACCTGGTTCCTGAATCCAAAACCACTTCCTGTTTCAAACAGGAAGTCTTCTCAGAAGTGAGATGTCCCCTGCCCACCTGGGGGCAAATATGCTTGGCAAATGTCAGCGCCTCTTCCTGTCAGAGCTGCTGCCAGGAGACCTGCCAGGTCCTGAAGGCAGTGTGCTAGCTCTACTGAGAGCCTGAGGCCTGAGAGTCCTGTCCTGGCTGGCCTTCAGCTGGGGAGTTCTGACAGGAAACTGTCAGATGCCTCCCATACTGACTTGGTTTTTGGCTTGCTTTGGCACCAACATCCTGTCTGCTCTGTTTCCTATGGAGGAGCAAATGAGTGCATTTTAATTAAGCTGGTATATCACGGAGCTTGGGGGAGAGCTGGATTCTTGGAACTCCTCAGAGAGGAAGGCATCTGGGAGCTGAGACCGGAGGCAAGCAGGGAGGTGAAGTCACAGGGCCAGAGGCTCCCTTCCTGGCTGAGGTAACGCCCCAGTAATGTATGTTCTGTAGCAAGCACCTCACCTGAACCTCTGAGCTCAGGAATGACAGTCCCTCCCTGCAAGGGCCTCCCCACACCCAGCTCTACCCTGGGCACAGGCTCTCCTTCCTGTCTCATCCATCCACTGAGCAAACATGACCTTTGGACAATGCTGCAGATCCATCAAGGTGACAAGCACTGTGTCCACCCTAGCACAGGCATGCAAGAGAACACTTAAGCAGAGCAAACCACCCCACGTGCGACCTGCAGGAATCCTGGGAAAGACTGCATATTTAGTGGTGTTTACCAAGCCCCACTCTTTAACTCTGGCCTTTCCTTTG